GGGATCGAGTCCCACATCGGGCTCCCTGCTCGGCAGGGAGTCTGCTTCTCCCTCTGACCCTCTCTCCTCTCATGCTGTCTCTCGCTCTCTCTCTCAAATAAATAAATAAAATCTTTAAAACAAAAATATGTGGGCAGACTTTGAAAAAGGTGTCCAAGAAGTTAAGACCAAAACCTCAGCACATTTTTTAGAAATTGTTCTAATAGCAAGAGCTCGTCCCATAAATATTACCTGTTGCTTACATTTAAATATTTCCTAAACTGGGATGAAATGGTAAGAAACATACCTCTTCCTTCACTGATACAAAATATGGAGAAAATAATTGATCTCCTTTTATTGAGGGTACACCTGGGGCTCATCCTGGTTAGGGACAAGGACTTTCTCCAAGCTGCCCGTCTTGGAGGAGAGCAGTTCTAGGGCCACTGGGGGCCCTTAGCAGGAAGGTGCCGGAAGCGGCTGCTCCCCAGAAGCCTGTCTGCCCTCAGAAAATAGTCCTCACTACACACTGGCAAGTTTGCCAGGTTTCTTAAAATAATTTAAATAAAATCCTCCTGCACTGATGAGGCATTTGGAAAGATGTCTCCCAGTTTCTGGGGCGCATTTGCTATCCCGATCCCTAACCGGGATGTCGGTCGCCCCTTCCAGAGGCTGTTTTCAGATGCCTGCAGGAGCATACCCGGGAGGTGCTCCAGGCTGCTCGGCCAGGTGGGTGGGGTGAGGGGACTCTGCGAGGCTCACTGTCAGGAGTGGCTTTGGGACAGACACTTATGCACCTTCGTGACTACCAACAAGCGGCTTGAAACTTGGTCCCTTTTCACGCTGTTCTGAATCACTTTCTACGGCTGGAACTCACGTCTATGAGGTTGCAAAATGGCTTGAATTAGGGGCTGTGTCCAGACAGCACATCTGATGCCCTTAGTCCTGCGGGTCGAGCCACCAGCCTGACAGCCCCCAGGACGGGGGAGAGACTCCGCCACCGGCAGGGCTCGGGGAGGGGCGCAGACCCCCCACTTCACGTCGTGTGGCTGGTCTCCGAAACCACAGGGTGGCCTTGCCCCACTGGGGAAGAAACCGGCCCGGCTTCGTTCCCAAAGAAACCTCACTTCATCGCAAAGCGTTTCTTGTGGTTGTGACGGCCCTAACCTCGCCCGGTCCCCAGACCGCCTGCGTTTGAACTGAGTTTCGGCCGCGGATCCGCCGCGAGGCTGCGCTCAGCGCTGGAGAAGAGGAGACACCTATTGGCAAGAAGGCGCGCTCAAAATCAGGGCTGCTCTGGGGAAACACCAGGGGGACACCGCTTCCCAATCTGTGCCGCGCGCCCGCCGCCCGCGCCCCTCCCGGCGGCAGACCCTGGCCGCGCCT